GTGAGGAGGCGAGGCCCGGGTTGAGATCGTGGATGGACAGCGGGAGGTCGCTTCTGGATTGGTTGCGCGGAGTGCCGGTCTCGCTGCTGGTGGAGGATCGATGCGAGGAGGAGAACGATGCGTTGGCAACAGGCGACGATCTGAGTGGAGAAGTGACGGACGCGGATCGGGCCCTGTTGCTGTCGAGTCCGTCGAGGGCCTTGTTGAGCTTCCTGAGGTCGGCTACTGAGGAGACTCGAACTGGCGCGGCTGGCTCGGGCTCTTCGTGCGCCTGAACGTGCCCCGTTGCGCATTTGAGATCAGACACCTTTGGCCCTGATGCTGCTGCTGCTCTTGCTCTGTACCTCGCCCACCAGATGTGGCTTCCGGGACCACTCCTTCGTTCAGGGACAGCATCACCGAGGCCGTCGCCTACCGATCCTGGCGGGACAGTGCATGCCATATAGTAGTGCCAGCCGATGCTGTAGACGATGAAGAGACACGCCGCGAGCCAGAAGAAGAAGCGCAGCGTGGCTATTGGGTCCTTGACGATCGAATCGAACAGCGTTGGGACCAAGCCGAGAGCGATGTGTGCTGGAGAGTAGGTGTGAAAGAGGTTTGCGAGCTCGGTTGGAACGGGAGCGAGCTCGAGGAACATCGTCGTAAAGAAGGTCCAGATCCCGCCTGCGACGAGGGTGATGCAAATGGCGACAAAGACGGGCCCAGCACACCCTGTGAGCCAGTCGGCGGCGCGTTCGACGCGGCGAAAGGACGAATGAACGATTTGAGCGATTGCGCACATGTTGAACGGCTAGGCTGCTGTATGCTGACGAAGCTTTGAGTGTGAATCGAGGTGAGAAACGTGGTGAATGAAAGTATACAGAGGTGTCGATGCAGATGCGGTGTCGTCGGCAACTGGTCTTGAGAGGGTATCAGAATCGGTTCAGCACGAGGCGTTTCGGTAAATGTACGTGGCAAGTGCAGGCTGAAGGAAGCAGCGGAGCGTGAGGCGAAAGAGAGGATGCAGGCAAACAAGAAAAGCGCGTGGGGCTGCAACGGAAAAGGTGGGTTTGGAGCAAGACGGCGTTTTGATGGGTATGTGTTGCGTAGCGAGTGGAAGGCGCAACAAAAGAACGAAATGAAGCTCGTGTCGGGTGAGAGAGGGGAGATGGTGGAGACGGAAAGGGTTGCAGATGAAGAGCGAAAGAAAGAAGCAAGAGGCGTGAGCGTGTCGATTCTCTCCCTTCGCCGCCTTTGGAATGCTGAGCAGCATGACTGGAGAAGGATGACTGTGCCTCGCTTTGCTGCGCTTGGCCTGTCAGAATTGTCAGCCGATCCAATTTTTCCCCCTTTTTTTCCCCGGAAGGCAGAGCGAAAGAGCAGAGACAGATTTACGCATTTTCCAAGCAGGAAATTCTCAGCCCATTTTGGTCGCGTGTTCGTCCTCGATGCTTCCCGTCCAAGTCAGCCGACACTGCTCAGCACAGTCTGCAGCCATATTTCAAGGGGATCAACCCCATTCGACGTTGATCGACAACCGACACTGCATCCCGTCTTACTGCCCACAATCATGCTTTGATGTTGACCCTGGAAATAGAGAAAATAGGCTCAAGAGGCAAACAGAGTGGCAGTGCATAGCCGAGCGTGACAAAGAGATCGCCGCATACCCACCCTGCTTACTCTCGACACGCGACCATTTCCCCGATGCTGGCTGGAAAAAAGTCGCCGCGAGCCATCGTTTGTCTCACTTGCTCGTCTCTGTCGCTCGCTACGACACGATACTGATTCGTCTAACAGAAGCTCTGAATTGAGAAGCAATGCCTTTCGAACGGCTTTCCGGATGGCCGGATTCAGAGCGGGGATACAGTATTTTCCGGGCTTCTTTTCGCGGCCTCTTTTTCTAGCTTGATTTATTTTTCAGTGACGAGGAACTCCGCTCAGCGCATGGCCAGTCGCTGCCAGCAGCCAGCTTGCATCATCCGGGAGGACTCGACTGCCTTGTGCTTCGTGAACTTCACCCGGCAGGAAGCAAACTTGAGCGAACCACTTTGACAAAACGAGCCAAGCGACACGCACCTCGAGCTGCTGCTCTGAGGACCAACAACGCCGACAGAGGGAGATCGATCGCCTCCCTTGTCTTCCCGATGTCCCGATGCCCTCACCCGTATCTAATCTAATCACAAAAGAAAATAAAATACTTTTGGAACCTGCATGATTGTGCATATTCGAAGTGTGTGACCATGGCGACATGGAGTAATTACTGCGGAGCGGCTGTGAAGGTGACTTTGAAGGGAGCCGGTCTCAGAAAGCCGAGGAAGTGTGCTTTGCAAAAGCAGAAGGGCAGAAGAGAGGCTAAAAGGCTGAGACCTGCGAATCAACACTTTAGCCAGGCAAGCGAAGTGACTGCAGGAACAAAAGCTTATTCGCGTGGCTTCGTGAGAAGATCGTCGGGAGAGCCGCAGAAGAAGGAGGAGAAGCAGCAAAACGCCCGTGCGGCGCCTGCAAGCGATGAGAACGGCTTCTCCGTCTACTGATTGCCCCTGAGAAGACAGTCTGAAGTGGATAGCAGTGAGAGGAATAGAAAGATCGAGCACGACGATCATGAGCGAGTGACTACTACCATCGCCTTTTCGATACGATTCACGATGACTTCCCCTTCTCGACCGAGCTCTCCCGACCCCTTCCCTCGCCAGCCCCAAGCCTCGGGCGCTCTTTATGGCGATCTGCCGCTCACTCTGCCGCGATACCGCTCCAACTCGCACATCGTCGTTATCGTTTCCCGAGAGAACGGTGTGACCTCGTATGAGGTCCGACGTAAGCGCGACGACGAGCCTGATCGCTGCAAGATCGATACGATCAACGAATGGATCCTGGCGGGAGGCGTCCGTATCGAGGATACCGACAAGAAGCGTGTCCTCCGTGGTGGCATGGCGGTCGCTGTACTTGTTGCCAAACAGCACCCGAGCCCAGATCCGGAGAGACAGTACGTCGACCACGCCAACAGCGACGCGCTCGATAACACCGTCGCCAACTTGCACTGGGTGACGCCGGCGTTCAACGCTTGGAACAAGGAGCGAAAGGACAAGAACGGCTACTTTGGCGTGCATCGGTCGGGGAGAAACAAAGCGACCATCCTCGTCATCTTCCGCAGTGTGGGCCAAGGCTCATACGACAACGAAAAGACTGCAGCCCGAGTCTACGACCTTGTCGTGCGTCTCGGCTACAAGGACCAGGTCGACAAAACCCCGCACCTGCCGAACAACCTCCCGGACCCAGACAAACATGTCGCCAAGGTTGCTTCGCGGGCTGATGGGGTGGACATTTATCGTGTTGATCGCTATCACCTGGTGATCTACGACGAGAATGTTCGGAGCAAGCACAACTCGCTTGCGGAGGTACAGACGGCGGCCGAGAGCTTCATTTCCGATCTGGAGAAGAAGCAGGCCGAGCAAAGGCAAGAGCGCCAGAAAAAGCGCGAGGAGCTCATCAAGGCCAACGCGATCACGCGCAATGCGGATGGCGTCGCTTTCTTGCCGATGAGGCACAGGGAAGGCAGTTCGGTCGAAGTGCTGTTGGATGACGACACCTGGCTGGATCTGGTGGCTGCGTCGTTGACTCTGTACCCGTCGTTCGGCTACGGTCCCTCGGTCAAAATCGATGGCAGGACCGTGTTCCTGAACCGCTATCTGCGGCCAGCGGGCAACGATATCGTGGACCATGTCAATGGCAACGCCTTGGACCACCGGCTGGCCAATCGCGAGGTCAGGGATCGCTCTGCCAACGCGCAGAATTCACGCAGGGCGTCCAGGCTTTTCATGGGTGTCACACCGACCAAAGCGGGCGGATGGATCGTCCTCGTCAAGCTCAAGGGGAAAAATCGCATGGTCAGCAAGACCTTTGCAGCGGGTGAGCTGGTCAAAGCCCTCAGGCTGTACGATCTCTGCGCTCTCTCGCAGCATGGACCTTCGGCGCTCATCAACAGCCCAGCGAAGGTGGGCGAGTATCTGGCGGAGCTCGAGAAGACGAAGACGAAGGAGGTGGAAGACTTTCTGGCGGGGAGGGCAAAGAAGTCGATGTACGAAGGCGTAGGAAAACACGCGGGCGATGATCGTTCGGAGGTGCACGCTGCCATCGCTGCCGATCTGTGGAAGCTCAAGACGAAGGGCACAGAATGGCGGCTCAACTTCGAGTTCATGCGGCCTTGGTACCTCTTCTACCTGCCGCAGTTCGACAAGAAGAGCGAGGACGAGATCGTCGCCAAGGGCTATCGGCGCATTGGAGGCGATGACTTTGTTCGCGATACCAAGACGGCGGTAGCCGATCCTGCTGCTCTCGCATCGCCGTCCGCGGTGGCGAGCTCCTCTTCTGCGCCGTCTGGCTCTGGTACCTCCGTGGCTGCCCTTCCATCCGGCTCTGGCAAGCGCAAGCGGGACGAGTGAGAATCGATTGTATTTCTTGTAATGCTATGATATGTACAAAAGAAAGATCTATGACTGAAACGAGTGTCTTTGCTAAGCCTTTCTAGTGATGCTTGCGACGAGAAGCGAGTTGGGCACCTGTGCATGGATGAGCTTCAAGATGTTGGCGGACAAGGCGACGACGAGCACGATGCAGCCCCAGGCCGCGAGCGCGATGGCCGCCTCTCTTTTACTATGTAATGCACTATAGCGACCTTGCCTCAACTGCGTGAGATTGCGTTTGCCGTGTACCATCCCTGAAGCGGAAACAGACATCGCACCAAGAGCCTGCTGTTGGACCGCGAGCAACGTCCGAAGGCGTAGCCGGTATGGCCCCCCTCCTCCGATGGCTCGCCCTCTCTCCACGCCCCACAAGCTTGACTCGACGCGTCTTTAAATTTGAATTTTTGAATTTTGGATTTTTCCATTTTCTCCACGCTCGCACAAACCTGTGACACCCGAAATCTGTGACACGCGTTCACCAGCAATCCACACGCTTCAACACCATGCCATCCATTGCTATCCTCATACAGATACTTACACCATGTCTTGACACAGCAAAAATAGGACAGACGGGATTCGAACCCGCGATGACATCGTCAACCTGGATAAAAGTCTAACATCTTAAACAGGTCACCCTCGGCCTCTAGGTGACTGTCCTCGTTTTTGATACATTCAAGGTGTCTCTCGGAAATTAGAGGTATATATACCCTGTGCAACCATGTCACAAAATTCAGTGATTTTTTTATTAAAAAAAAAATACCATCACGAAAAACGCTTGTGTCACACTTGGCTAAAGATGCTGAAGCGAGGTTTGAATTTGTGCAATGGCTAGTCCATGTGGGTGAGGGTCAAAGTGAATGCAGTGTGTGTGTGGGGAAGGTATCTTAGATGAGTGATTGTGATGAGAGTGGATGCTGAAAAAGAATGCGAACCTGGCGTACTAAATGCGACGTGGCTGGTCCGTCAGCTCGTACGACTCGGACATGCCGCCAGCTCGTCGGGAGAGCGCGTAGGGAGGTGCGGGCCCAGACGAGGAAGCGGGCATGCCTGCAGGGCTTCGGCTTCGCATGCGGCCTTGCTCGAGTGCGTTGGCGGGCGACAGAGGTCGCGAAGGTGGGGCAGTTGCGGGAGCGGTGCCGCCCTCGCCTCCGACATCGTCAAACACGTCGTGTCCGCCAAAGGTGGCGCCTGCATCCATAAACTTGTACGAGCGGTCGCCGGCGCCGAGCGTGTTCTGCACGCCTGCCTCTGCGGTGGTGAAAGTGGTGGCCGACTCGGGCGGCGGGTAGGGCACAATGGTGACGTGGTTGAGGGCGGTCTCCTTGGGATCGCCCTTGGGGCCGTAGATCCTGCATTCGGCCAAAAACACCTTGAGCTGGCACAGCCATCGGTTGCGTCGCTGCGCCTTGAGTCCTCCTTGCTGCCAGTTGGACTTGTATCGGATGCCAGCCGAGAGCAAGAGACTGCCTTGCTCTTGGAAATCGACGACGTTGATGTCGAGGCCGGGCAAAAAGTCGCGCTTCTCGCCGTCGAGCCAGTGCACCATCTTGGCTCGGAGCGCCTCGATCTGGGCAAACGAGGTGGAGTAGGCCACCTCAAACTTGAACGTTTCTTCTATGGCACCGGATCGTCGCAGGTTGATGATGGGCTTGGTGGCGAGCTGGCTGTGACTGATCATGACATTCTTGCCGTTGGTCGTCTTGAAGACGGTGGTGAGCAGACGCATCTCCTTGACAATGTACTGATCGTCGCCGACATCGACGCGGTCGCCGACGTCGTACGGGTGCTTGATGAAGAGAAAGATGATGGCGCCGAGCGTCTCCTGGGCCGTCGAGCCGATGAGCCACGAGAGGCCGAGGATGAGGGTGCCGAACGAGGTGACGAGGGTGCTGAATGCGACGGACAGCATGGCGGCGATGATGATGGCGGCAATGAGGATAAAGACGCTCATAAAGATCGAGTCGAGACGCCCGACGGCCGAGTCGACATCGCGCATCGAGAGCTGCAGGGCGAGGCGCTCGCGGTGGATCTCGACGCAGGCGGATTCGAGCTCGTCCTTGGTAATGTCGCCGTTGAGGTCGCGGTCAAAGATTTCGAAGGCGACCTCGGCGGTGATTGAATCGGGGAAGCAGTGGATGATATCGTCGACGATGAGCTCCGACTTGCCAGGCGGGCAGAAGCTGTACCAGATCCTTCGTGCGAGCGCCTGGGTCTGCTTGCGCGAGTTGAGCGACGAGACGACGACGGAGCGGGGGTTGCCAGGTTGGAGCACGCCTTGACCGGCGATCTCGCTGGCGACGGTTCCGAGCACGCTGGTGCTCTGCAGGGCCGCATCTCGCACCTTTTGACCCGTTTCGCGCAGACGCTGACGCGCGAGGTGGAGGCCGGCGGTCTTGCGCTTGGCTTCGTGCTCGGCGGCAATGTAGGTGTCTTTGCGCTGGATGTTTTTAGAGTTCTCGTAGAGCGTGGTGAGCACCTTGATGTTGAACTTGGAGGTCGAGATGCGGTCCTCGTACGAAACACGGTGGAAGTTGTAGGCGATGCCCTGGATAAAGAGCTTTTCTCCGAGCAAGATGGCGGCGCTGAGACAGACGCCGAACCAGAGACGGTAGCCGGAGAGCATAATGTCGCTGGTGGAGGGCCAGGAGCTGTCGTTGTTCTTTTGGTTGATGACGGTGGTGCCGGTGGTGGTGGAGGTCGAATTGGTGGGGGAGAGAGAGGCCGACTCGATGGCGGCCTTGTCGGCACCCTGAAAGTTGCCAATGACGATGGCGAACCAGAGCGCGAACAGGAGGATGGTCCAGAGGAAGAAGGCGACGTACTTTTCAGTGACAATGAGGAATTCGGTGTAGCGTCGCATCTTTTGGTGGAGGTTGCCGACGGTCCACCGAAGGATGCGGGGGATGAGGATGGCGCCGACACGGCAGGCCCACCAGCCGATCCAGATGGAGCTGAGCCAGATGGACCACCAAAAGATGCCGACGTCGAGGACGGTGGGCTTCTTGAACTGGTTGGCGGGTTTCGCGTCGTAGAGGAAGAGGGCGATGATGCCGGGGATCCAGAAGAGGATGGTGGGGATGAGAATGTAGAGGACGAGTCGCACCGAGGGGTGTCCGAGCTTGGGACCCTCGGCGTGACGACCGTTGAGGCCGACAAAGCTGGCGTTGGCGGTGTCGTGCGCGTAGCCGGCACCCTTGAGGAGACGCTCCCACGAGTCGCTGTCCTGACGCTGGTAGCCGGGCCGCTTTGCGGCGGAAGCGGAGGCGCCTTTGTTCATGGCGGCTTGGAGGCGCTTGGACATGTCGGTGGAGTGCGAGTAGTCGTGCCTGCCTCGCTGCTGCTGCTGCTGCTGCTGCTGCTGTTGTCGCTGTTGCGCGGAGGGAGCGGGTGGGTAGGTGGTGGAAAGATCGGATCCGCCGTCGTTGGCCCACTGACCGGAGCCGCCGTAGTTGGAAGGGTAGCTTTCATACTCCTTTTCCGAGGGATAGTCGGCGACGTTGTCGTAGTACGTGGTGGAGCCGACTGGCTGTCCGGCGAGAGGGGCGTCGTAGGTGCGGACGGGCTGGTTGAGCGTGGCGCTGTCTTCGGATGCTCTGCCTTGCTGGCCCGAGGTGGAAGCGCCGCCGCCGGGCACGCGCGTCCAGGGTGCCGACATGATGGGCAGGGGTTCTTGTGAGTAGAGCTGCGCTGTATCCAAGGAGAGTGGGAAGGGGAGAAAGTCTATGGAGGGGTGATGGGGATGTCGACCAGACTGCTTGGAAGACAAGACGACGATGTTGCTGGTCGAGCGAGCGAGGTCGAAGGAAGAGTCGTTGGTGGATAGGGAGAAAGGGACTGAAGATTGACGGTCGGCCGAAGGCGCTCAGCTGCTGGCAAAGACCGCTGTCGGGGTTGCAGTGTGCAGTGTGCAGTGTGCAGCCTCCTCGCATGCCAGGTGGTTGCTTGCTCGTGTGCGCTTGGCTTGCTTGTGTTGTTCTCCTGTCTCACAAGACCAACAGCAAAAAAGTTCAAATTTAAAGCACGAACCCTTCCCGCCGAAAGTTGAGCAGCGGAACGGTGGAAAGAAGAC